ATTCAAGGCAATGTTTATCGTCTTCTTTGACATTAATGGAATTGTAATGACTGAGTGGGTTCCCAATGGTCAGACTGATAATCAACACTACTACACTGAAGTACTAAAATCACTTTTCGTGAAAAAATCAGGGAAAAAAAGGCCACAGTTGTGGAGTGATGGATGTCTGTTACACCACGATGCACCCGTTCACATGGTCTTATCTGTCAAGCATTCTCTGACCAGCAAAAACACTATTGTGATGGCGCATCCTCCTTATTCACCTGATTTGGCTCCATGCGACTTTTTTTTATTTCTAAAATTAAATCTTGCTTAAAAGGAAGCCATTTACCTCAGTTGAAGAGGTTCAGGCAAAAATGGAGGATCTCCTGAAAGTTGTTCCAGAACTATTACCAGCAATGGAAGCACCGAATGCAAAAGTGTGTGAATGCTGAAGGAAAACTGTTTTGAAGGTGATAATGTCATGGAGAATTGATTCTATAAGTACAATGATTTATTGGACAAGTCATTTTTTTGGGTCACACCTCGTATGTTACACATGGGAAAAACCATGCAAAGCCAGTCCAGCCAGTCCATTTCCCTGGAATCTTGCCCAAGTCAAACAAGCAATGTTCAGAACTTCACTGATTGGCTGTTGGTGGGATGTGTGAGAGTAAGCAGTGAATTTCCAACACAGTAATAGTCAATTATCCGAAAAGCTCAGAAAATATTGAATGTCAAATATATAAAAATTCTGTATAGTTGTGCATATAAAATATACAATTCACAGTAGAAAAGCCTAATGACTGAAAGCAAAATTTTCCAGTCATCTTTTCTGTAATCAGCTTAAATATCAGAAGTCTACATTTAACATCAAGTTAAGATTTTGTAAAAATGGATGCCAGACATAAAAGTTGGCATATTTTTGTAGACTTTAAACATACTGTTGTGTGCATATGGGTTTGTAATAGATTGAATGCACAAGTCCGATAATAGGTAAATAAAAATTTATTCTTATCAAAAGTAATATTTCAGAATGCTTGAATTTTTTCACAGAAATATTCATACAAGTGTTCACAATATCACACAATATAATCAGTAGTTATACTTCAAACTACTAAAAACATTAGAATACAACAAAATGCAAAGATAAAGCTAATGCGATCTCATGCTGAACTCGCAAAAATAGCAACAACAGTTAACTAAACAATTGAGCTGCGATGTCTCTCTCTGGCTTTAAATAGTTTTTAACCAGCTGTGCTAGATAGCATTTTCTGTTTCTCAAGATTTCTAGAAAGCAATAATAGGATGAAATTATGGTTACCGCTAACACAGTAGTCAATTACATTTATTCAGTTCCAATACAAATTAAAGAAATACCCATTTATTAAATATTAAATGCACATGCTCCTGCATTTTTACTTTTCCGGCATAACTTTCTCTTAAAATTCATCTCATGCTGCATTGCACATTGAAATAAAACAATTTTAATTATAATATTACTAAGATTAGCTATCTACATAAAAATTCTTGACAATATTAAAGCAAAATATGTTATTACATTATGAGATTCTATCAATCATGTAACTTGGCTAAGATTCCACCACACTTGCACCAATCATTCTGGCAGAAGTTTGGAAGAACTGATTGCTCTTTACTTAGATAATAAAGAGTTCCAAGTTACAGACATAGTATAAAAACTTCCATGGCTTGTGGGATATTTTCCTATTACCTCAACAATGTTTATCCATTTTCAAATAGAGTCGCATATCATTCCCTTTTAGCATGCTTTTCTTGATGCCAAGAATCTGTTAATATTTTACATAATCTACTGCATGCTGTTCCATTTAGAACAAATTCCAAATTTAAATAATTTTTCTAAAAGGTGAGGAGAAAACAGGTAAAGAGCAATTACCTCATATCCTTTCCCAGAAAAACTAAACCAGTTTTATCGAGAATTAAATGGGTTAACATAAAATGAAGCTAAAGATATCATGATTTCATTGTAATGTCACATTTATCCATTATTGGCAATAAACCACTGTTTGGGGACATTTTTTATTTGTTCCAAATTGGTGTCCTATATGCCCTTTATGCTTTACAAAATTTCTCATCTGCTTAACTTTTCATTAAAAAAAAATTCTAAAATTTTAAAATATTCTGCTTATTTGAATGCTGGATAGTTGGCCTTTACTAAGTAAATACATCTTACTGCTGAACGAAACTTTTCCCATATAAAACTGCAATTTCATATACATTTAGGGCATTTTAGAATTTTATGATCTTTATGATAAAACTCTAAAATCTCTTCTCTCCCCCCCCTTTATCAATTAAAGATTATTCCTAAACACAAGCAGCAGAAAGCAATTAGCGATTCTTTTCTGCATCATAAATCAAGCCTTCCAAAATCTGGACTTTTGAAATTTGCTCAGGGAATTACATATAGTATAAAATACTATGAAAAATGCATTCCTTGTACTTCAGGTACACATTTTCTACATCATGCATTTTCATATTTTGGTAAAATACATAACCGTCTAGAATACCAGATAAATTGTTAACCTGTCTTTAACCTTTCAATATCAGAATGCAACTAAATATAACACTATTCTTAGTTAACAAATAACACTGATTCAAAGTATTTACAAGTCAAATTTTAATTTAAACTTAACACACTGGCTGACAACACAACTACCACTTTTAATTTTCAATTACCAACAAATTCACAAGGTGGCAGGAACTATACTGAAGGGTTTCACCCCGATGGGATGAAGGTGTCAATCCTCTTAAGATTCTTACTCCTATTTAAAACACTTCATTTACATATTTTGGTGCAGCAGATGAAATATCAGGTGTGCAGTAAAAATTCAACATAGGAAATAATACTAATTCAAAAGTCAAACAACAAAAATCAGCGTTATATTTTTGAAATTTTTACAGGACTAGTTTCGATGGTTTTACTGAACCACCATCCTCAGCTGCAAAACCGTAAATGAAGAAGATAGGAAATAATGATTAGATAGGATAAGAAAACCTCGGCAAGAATAATCAAGTGGTGCCATCTGTTGATGAAACCAGAACTAAAACATAATTTTTTTAAAGGCCGAAGGCAAAGATGGATTGGAATTAGGATCATTAACTAGCTTTTTTGAATGTGAAATACCTCTAGAAAATCCAGTTCTCCAATGGAAGATGTTTTTTGAATAATTTTGGCAGCAGAAAAATTGAAATTGTGATTTTCGGACCAACAATGTTGAGCAAATGAAGACTATTGTGTTTCCTTTTTTCTAACATATGTCTCATGTTCCTTGATGCAAAATTTTAAGGCTCTCTTAGTTTGGCCAATGTAAATTAAACCACACTGGCAAGAAGTCCTATAAATACCCCAGGAATTCATATCCGGAATGGGTTCGAGTATGGAACTAAATATGCCTAGAATGTTATTTCACAGAATGGCATTCTTATTGGCCTATTACTGCATGTGATGCAAGAGCACTTCTCATAATAAATTACAGTTGGCACATAAAAAAAATATTTTTGTCAAACATGCAAAATTCAAAGCATCATTAACTGCTTAATCTGCAATGATTGTGAAGAAAGTCAATTCAGAGAATGAAAAAATGAACATAATCTTATTTCCATAATTTTCTCTGCATTTGAAATTTTAATTCATAAAATTTTTTTTCACAGACAGCAGTTCTAGTCTCCCTCTCACCAGATGAAGTGGAGAGAGGTGTTACTTATCAACTTGGATTATCTTTAAATTTTGTGCAACTGTTAACTACGTAATTTTATCTAGGCCCCAGGTCAGGTATCTATAATTGTTTTACTTTTGTTTAGTAATGTTATAGACTGTACAAAAACCAATGCTATCTACGAGCTACGAGAGGTATGGCAATCATGGTAATAATCAAATAGAAGACAAAAAGGATCTTGAAAGGACATCAGGATTTACTTTTCTAAATTACATTGTGAAGCCACATATTTGCTTTCTGAGTGAAAACGGTGAATATTGTACAAAATTTCTCTTTCTTTGCTAATGCTTTTTTTTCCAAAAGGCTTTTCTTTTGCCTACATATAAATATAAGTGATAGCAGACGACTACAACTATTGACACCGCAGTTGTAATGCACTATAATTTTGTGTCTATTAGTTTTTCAAAAAATAATTCAAAAAATTAATGCTTATATGTGAATGGCAAGGGAGGAATGAGTCGACTAGGAGAGTGCTAAGTGAATATTTAAAGAATTTGCAGACTTGCGTTTGGTCCGAGGTTCGAATCCTGGTGAAGAGATTGGCTGCATGGGCGTTTTCATGGTTTTCCCCATGACTGATAGATATATATATATATCATATAAAAATATATGATATATATATATATATATATCATATAAATATATATATATATGAGCCAGTTTCACTCAGAGAGTCCTCCATGAAGGTACTCCTATGAATAATGCGTGATGAGATAAGTTGGTTTTCACATTTTTTCCCCCCACTCTTTTTATCTTTAATTTCCCACTCTAAGAGAATCTTGAGACAATCATAAACCAATAGTTAACAACAATGAAAAGATTTTGCCCAGAATACATACAAAGAGTTTCACATTTCATATGAATCTAAAGCACTACAGTATGTGGACAATATGTAACAATTAGATTTAATGCTTATTGCAGAAACTTGTACTGCCACAGCTCATTGCAAATATCTGAAGCACTTTAAAATGGGGCTTCTCTATATCTAAGAAACTCCACACAATGAAATGGCCGTTAATTTGTTTAATACACTGCTAATAATTGATATTTGATATGTAAATTTAGCTTAAAAATATTTTTACGAAGAAGATTTGGAATAAAAACTAAGAAAGGTTATTTGAAAAAAAATAAAAAAAATAAAAAATTACATTCACATAATATCACATCACATATACAGAACTAAAACAGTTAACAGGAGAAAAAGCACTAGAACATTTTTCTTACTGATCTAGTAATTATATATACACATTATGTATTTTGCCTTACCAAAGTTTATGCAGATCAGAGTTACTTTTTATTCGTAATTCATCTATTGTCCATGCTCGTCCTTAAAAGGTGAAAAAAACTATCATCAGATATATAAATATTCAAATATTCAAAAACATACTTAAAATATATTTTTGAAAAATAAAAATAGATTTCAAAATGAAAAAGTATTCTTGGCAGACTTTGCAGCAATTTGGCATAGAACTTTGAAGGCATTCATACTATATATCAATTAGATTTCTATCACAGACCAGATAACAGAAAATCCCATTTGCTCAAAATATGAGTTAAACTTAGCATTCCATGTTACATATTTAGAGTATTTTATTTATGGCACTGTATATTTTGTCTTTCAGTTTTTTTATATTTTCTTTTCAATTCATCTTTCCATACCTTGGTGAACAAAGAATAATTAACACCTGTTTCAGATATGACCTTTACTTCCTATTAAAAACGCTTATTCGTTTAATTGAAAAATGCTATGTAGATGAGGGCTAGCTGTCCAGAAGGATAGATGCCTTTAAGAAGGATAGTCTAAGGAAAAGTCACTTATGTCACACATGGGAAAAATCAATAACCAGCCAGCCTGTTCACTATGATTATAACCTGGGTCATACTACACCAGTATTCAGCAATCAACCACAGATGGGTACTGCTCCCATTAAAATTAATGTGAATTATATGTTGCTTTCCTTGAATTACTGAATTTATTACTTTCACATATCTTGGTAATTAACTGATTTGTAACAATTATTCAAAAAGTAAATACTTAAGACTTAATTTAAACAGCAGTGATTATTAATATTTGATTTTAAAAATAGAATTTTTGTCCATACAGAGAACTCTCAATTTTACAAAGCTACGTGGATAAAAAGAGACATTGAAGTCATTGCAATGTCTGAAGTCCATTATCTTATTTGATTCTTCATTGAAACTGTAATCACTGGACTGCGACCAACCATTCCAAAGATACTCACTCATTCAACTATTTTAAACATCATGTATATGGCAATTATACACAAAACATCTGCAAGCTTACAGAAGTCTGTATATGTAAAGAAAGCTCAGCAATGACCATTAAACTATATTGTTTGACATTAAAACTACAATACTAAGAAAGAAGTAGCCCATCAGTGTGAAATTTGCACAATAAGAAAACATGAAATGACACCAAAAAAAAATTATTTAATTGCATAGCATGTAAATAATGTATGTCTAAAATGTCATTTAAAATCAGCATAAATGAAAAGACAGGTTTTTCCATATAGAAATCATGTTTCTTTCTTGTTGCTTGACTAGAAGTGTAGAGTATGCCTTAGATAAGAAGACAGAGCATGCAACAGCATGTATCCAAATGCGATTACAGGAGAATAATAAATGTACTACAATTGCAGTTTCTCATATCACAAAATTACTGCTTATGGTGAGCAAAATCTGAGATTGTCAAGCAAATATATATTCATCAAGTCCACATAAAACAGACAAAGCAACACACAGGCTCATAACCTCAATGCACCAATGCATTGAGGTTGCACATTGTGTGCAAGACAGGCACATTGTGTGGATGGCTCACAGTATAGAATGAAATTGAATTTTCATGCCAATCATATCTGTCTAGCTACCTCATGAGTCAGCATTACATTACAAATGTATTAAGGCCTCCGGTTGTCCACATCTATAGGTGCATCATAGAACCACTCATTAACAAGACAATGCATGAACTCTAATTGTACTCAACATCCAACACTACATCAAGGTAATCTGATTTTTATCCAGCCTTAGATGGTATGTTATCAGTTCCTTATTTGACTAAATTCATCTGATTTAAAGTGTCATACATAATCAGGGCTAGATTTACGTATTAGCTACACAAGCTAAATTGTCCCATATCCATTTAGAAAGGCCTCATATCCCAAATAGCTTAGGGCCTTTCAAGCCTAAATCCAACCCTATGCACAATGATGCAACAAAGACCACTAGCGGCTATAAAAGATAAGCTTTGGTAATAAATTATAGCTGTCTAATATTAAGACAATTTTCAGTGCAAAATAAATTCTACTTAGCATAAATTATACTTCTTGTATTATTTCTGAATTGTTTTTGGATGTAGTTCAAGCATAATTACAATTTTGAACACATCAGCAAAATGATATTATATTACATGCAGACCTAGTTGTAAGAGATATAAAAAATATTAAACTAAAACATACAATTACATATAAAAATAAGTTTAAATCTATAAAAAATGAATTCATATAAACTAATACAGCAATACTTCAGTTCACAAACTTGATCTATTCATTATGATAGTTTGTATTCGTTCGATTCATTATGATAGTTCGTAAATTAAGAAGTTTTTCTTTAAGAATTAATGTAAAATGGATTAATCGACTCCAAGACTCCAAATAACTTACAAAAAAGTACTTTGCACACAAGTTCATAATAAAAAACCAATGGTATTCATAAAAATCAAACTCATATGCAATATGAACGGAAAAAAACAATGATATTCATAAAATTAAACTCATATGTAATATAAACAAACGCAAAACTTGAAACCTAAAATAAGTTTTGTTCTGTCTATACAAAGGAGGGTTGGTGGTTAAGTTAAAAATAAATAAATAAATAATTAAAAATAAGGAAGGAAGGAAATGAGCAAAATGTTATTTGAAAGGGAAACACAAATTTCCATGAAAATACCAGATAACAATTTCTCCACTTCAGTTGTCTCCCTTGAAAAGCCAAAATGAGCTTCAAATTGGGCTAAATTAACCATTTTCCACTTCTTAATTTTAATATATTTTTTGTATTTTACCTTGATCAATTGATTAGTAGTTTTACAAAAACTTTATATTTAGCATATAGACTATATTTTACCTCATTCAATTGAAAAAAAAAAAAAAAAAAAAAAAAAAAAAAAAAAAAAAAAAAAGGCATACAGCTTTTTATTAATTTAAACTTGAAATATTCAAATATTTTTCCTCCTCTTTCACACTTTTCATAGCAACTAAATAGCTTATATTGGAGTTTTCTCTCGGAACACAGTTTTTGGTAACTTTTCGCGAGCTTACTAAATTTATCTCTAATTTTCTTATTTTGCGCACAATGCGCAAAATTTTACCTAAATTGGTCTTTTTTTTTTTTTTTTTTCCGTTTGTTCTTATTAAACCTTAAAATATATATAAATATATATATTATATTAATACAAAAAATGGACAAATCTTTAATTTTACTTTTATTTTGTATTTATAAGTTCATTTGAATTGTGACTTTGTGTGTTTAGTATAATTTAAATGATATTCCATCAACTGTGACTTTTATTTTGTGATTTTGAGTGAAAGTGGAAAAATAATGAATGTTTTTGTATTGCCTGGTGCTAAACCAATTAGGCTTAGAGTGTGTTTTGCAATCATTTCCGGAGCTTGTAATTTTGATGTATCATGATTCCAATTTTCCATTGAAAAGAAGCCCTGCTGCTGAGTGCATCATTTACTGTAGTCTTCTGTACCCACTGGGTGATTTGTGGATTTCATGCATTTGAACTTCTTTCATTGTTTTTTCAAGACATAATCACAAGATCATGTGCTCCCCCTCACCAGGGTTCGTACGCATTTCTGCACACGGAATTAAGTACTTTTAAGGACTTTTAAGGGCCATTAATGAAAAAATTAGGACCTATGAGCAAATCGGAACTGAATAAATCAAAAAATATTATGTCTGAAAAAAAAAACTTTGTAAAAACATCCCTAAAAAATAAAATAATCCCTAATAGTAATGGCATTATTATTAAACATGAATGATGAACATATTACTAATAAGTTTGAGAATAAAATAAACTTTATGCAATTTATCAAGCAGCATTAAATATTTTACACTTATATAGTTGGTCATATTTTAAAGAATATGACCAAAAAAAAAACCCCAGGAAGTGAAAGAAGATGTTGTTTGAAAGGGTAAGTTTTTCAGCCTTAGATGGTATGTTATCAGTTCCTATTGACTAAATTCATCTGATTTAAAGTGTCATACATAATCAGGGCTAGATTACGTATTAGCTACAAGCTAAATTGTCCCATATCCATTTAGAAAGGCCTCATATCCAAATAGCTTAGGGCCTTTCAAGCCTAAATCCAACCCTATGCACAATGATGCAACAAAGACCACTAGCGGCTATAAAAGATAAGCTTTGGTAAAAAAAATAGCTGTCTAAATATAAGACATTTTCAGTGCAAAATAAATTCACTTAGCATAAATAAATCTTCTTGTATTATTTCTGAATTGTTTTTGGATGTAGTTCAAGCATAATTACAATTTTGAACACATCAGCAAAATGATATTATATTACATGCAGACTAGTTGTAAGGATATAAAAAATATTAAACTAAACACATTACATATAAAAATAAGTTTAAATCTAAAAAAAATGAATCATATACTAATACAGCAATACTTCAGTCACAAACTTGATCTATTCATTATGATAGTTTGTATTCGTTCGATCATTATGATGTTCGTAAATTAAGAGTTTTTCTTTAAGAATTAATTAAATGGATAATCGACTCCAAGCTCCAAATAACTTACAAAAAAGTACTTTGCACACAAGTTCAAATAAAAACAATGGTATTCATAAAAATCAAACTCATATGCAATATGAACGGAAAAAACAATGATATTCATAAATTAAACTCATATGTAATAAAACAAACGCAAACTTGAAACCTAAAATAAGTTTTGTTCTGTCTATACAAGGAGGGTTGGTGGTTAAGTTAAAAATAAATAAAATAAATAATAAAAATAAGGAAGGAAGGAAATGAGCAAAATGTTTTTGAAAGGGAAACACAAATTTCATGAAAATACCAGATAACAATTTCTCCACTTCAGTTGTCTCCCTTGAAAAGCCAAAATGAGCTTCAAATTGGGCTAAATTAACCATTTTCCACTTCTTAATTTTAATATATTTTTTGTATTTTACCTTGATCAATTGATTAGTATTTTACTGTGTTTTATAATTTACTTTATATTTAGCATATAGACTATTATTTTACCTCATTCAATTGATTTGTT